TTATGTTAGATACTCTTGACACAAAATGCTATGCCATCATCTACAGACTGCATCATATCTACCAGAGCTGCATGTGTTTGCAGTAACAGTTACTTGTACTCATTTCATATGCTAATGATCTGTATATTTCAACTGCATTTTTAATGACTTTTATTTGCTGAAAAAAGGCTTCCTAATTGCCTGTATTGAGAATGTATTGGGTGAGTTCCATGATGCACAGTTGTGGTGTTTGCAGTAGAAACATTATGGTAAATTAAACATGAAAAAAGTGTATTTAGTTATATAATATAAACTAAAGATTTCAGTTGCATGGCTACTATAATAACATTTATATAATAATTTTTCTTGTCAATTTTTATTTTATAATTTGTAAATTATTATATTTTACAATTTTTTTCAATATTTACATTTTCGTATTTTTTATCATGACTTTCATTGCTTATTGCGCTTTGTCCGAATCTTTGTTCCCTTTTTTTTTCTTTCTTCTTCATCAAAAATATCTCATCTTGACCTTTACACTCTAACCTTCTTTCTCTAACCTTTAACCTTTAACCTAGCATGTATTATTTTCCTTCCCTTTCTTGTCTTTCCATTTTTTTTACCTCTTTTCTAACCCATTGATATTTTGCCCGCTTTTTGTGGCTGTGTTTTTAACAATCCGTTTACATGTACATACGGCAGCACGATTGGATGCGCCCAAAGGCAAGTCATGTGACCTTAACATGCATACCTTTCATTACGTGCATGATAACAATTAATATAAAATGTAAAAAAAAAGATTGTTTTTTTTTTTCTTTTGAAGAACATATTTTTAATCTTTGAATGAATGTATACGATATATTAACACAATGCATTCACTTTTGCCAGCATGTTATATACTAACCATTTGACACGCTATGAATACATTTGCATAAATTTACATAATACATAACACATTCAAAGTTTATGGCGTTTTAATTTTTTTTTTTATTTCAAAGTTTTTTTTTTATGATGTCTATGCACATGTAAGTCCCAATGAGGAAAACTTTTCTGGCTCTCATTAAAATGAGCAATCCTGAAATTTGAGTTATGTTCAGAATCGTGCTGATATTTGCATACTATTGTATTTCCCTATACTCAACATACCATTAGGGGTTCTACAGGCACATTCACTCTCTGTGTAGTGCTTTTATGTGTCATATTAAACATGGTGCAAGGACTTTGGCACCTTCCTGTATTGGCCTGCTCTATATTGTTTGTCTATAATTCGCATACCAGTTTGAACGGCAGAATACTAAGGAAATATGCAAATTGTATACAAGGATGAAATTTTGCACAAACCTTGCATATTAATCAGCTCATTTGCATATCCCTCAGAATTGAATACCAACTTTTCTTATACATTGTATTTTTCTGATTTAACCTTGGAAAGGATTGTTTGACTCATTGTGGACACTATTCTCTACAAATAAGTGACATATGTTATCTCTAGACCAGATATTAGTGAAATGGTATGACATCATGATTTGGTGAAAAAATCTTATTCTGACATTGGGAAAACAAATATATTTTTCTATTAACAATGCAAAAAATCATGAACATTAACCCTTTCACTAATGTTCTATTTCTCCATGCACATATCCATATATTTGCATAAAATTAGCATAAATTGTCTCATTAACACACACTTCACTCAATACTAACAATGTAACTTTAGATTTCATTACATCAGGTTAAATACTAAACTTTTTATTATCCTTTAAAAGACAAATGATAAATCTGTAGTACATTTGTAGCTAAGTTAAGGGGTTATAGTTGTAATTCAAATATTAGGTTATATCTAATAATATGTGATAAAGCTATACTTTGGGCATTCAAATAATACATGATTTGTTTATAAACGTTGCACTCTGATAAAGATTCTGTCCATATAAGGACTAAGATTACTGTCAATGACGATCAAAACTTACACTTTGTTGTACCTGATCCTGACAAATTGGCAGAATTGAAAAGTGCTTTATAAAATGAATGTAAACACCAGTTTGAGGGACTTTTGATGTTTTTAGGACACATATATTTTCAAACATTTTGACAATGGAAATTTCATTGAAAAATAAATGAATAAAATTGGCCAAAATGTTATTAATAATGTATAATGGACTGGACAATATCACGTTCTATGATCTGTGGACCAGGCAATATCACTTTCTATAATCTATGGACCAGGCAATATCAATTTCCATAATCTATTGACTAGGCAAAATCAATTTCTATGATCTATGGACCAGGCAATATCAATTTCTATGATCTATGGACCAGGCAATATCACTTTGTATGATCCATGATCTGGTCAATATCACTTTCTATAATCTATTTCAGAGTGTAACTCTAGTTGGACGTTTACATACAATACAACATTGAGACATCTTTTTATTTTCTCTCTCATGAACTTTTCCTTGCTGGTATGGTATTATGGTATTAACATACTATCGATAGTTACTGAAGTGTTTTAAAGGAGCACCTTTCCTCCAATTATATTCCATTCATTGCAGTGCCATGTATAATGTCTGAAATAACAGCAAATGAAAAAAGGCTGCGTTGTGCTGACTAGGATGGTGTGATGAGTTGCTGTGCCCTCACTGAGCTACTCGTAAGGAGAGTACATCTGTGAGGTTGCAGTAACTTGCACCAATTACATAATAATGTTGATAATGTACAACTGATATTGGCACTAATTTGAACAATAATACACTATTTTATCAACCATATTTATTCTATTGTACACTAACCATCAGTAAAAATGTTTATATCTAAAAAGTCTAATTTGGCCGTCCAAACACTATCAGTGTTTATTATGTCTGAGCATTAAAGTACAGGCACTTTTAATAGAATAAATATGGTAGACACAAATTTATTTATTATTTAATGTCAAATGACAAAAGTATTTCTTTGTAAAGTGGAGCGTGTAAAATGTTACCCTTAATAGATACCCAACCTGAAACTGAGCCCTCTGAAACGGTTTAATTGTTTTGATCACAATACATGTAGCTGTTAATGTGGAAACAATAACTACCAGGGTAACCCATTTTGCTTACTTGTTGTACCAGTATTACCGATATGCAGGTTAATTTACTGTATTTTATAACGATCTTTTCTGTTACTAATACATTTGTTTGCATTTACCATACTATAGAAATAACTCATCCTGATAGTTATATAATACCGGGTATGGTATAGAATGGTGAGGGGATATGATATGATACAAAAATGGAAAATATATGTACACTTTAAAGTCTCAATACCGTTTATAATTGTATGCAATGGTGTTTATCATAGTATCATACAAATACATGCAGCATGATTCATATTATCTACAAAATTATTTGAAACTATCTGTTTTTTAAACTTTGAAAATGTTGAACACTCCACTCTGCAGAGAAATATAGTCAAACTGAAGAAACCTTCACACAGACAAAATGCTAATTTTTCAACCTGCCTAGGTGGTCATTCTCTATGCAAATGTGAGAAAGCCTCCTAAGTTGGCATTAAATTTGTGTCAGCTAGGTGACCTGTCAGTATGCAGATATCAAATGTCTTTTTTAACTTTCTTGAGTAGGACATGTACACCTTGGAGCAAGTGTTTGGTGGAATGCCTGTTTTTAATAGCCAGGAAAAAACAGAGAATGTCTTATTACATTTACTGCTGCCACTTTGCATACGAGTCGGATGTGGGCGTCCAGGAGTATTTGATGTGATAAACTCATCGCTGGCAGATATTGACCTTGGAAAAGGTAAGAATATATTCTTTAGTTTAAGGCAGTGGGGTCATCACCTGCATGTGTACGTGCAGAAATTGAGCCCTAAATGACAATAAAAACACATGCAAAGGCTCATGGGTAGATGTTTAATTGTAAACAACAACATGTTATGGTCTTCTGTTGCATGCACAGATTATGACATCCCCTGCTTTAATATTTAGATATGGTTTTCTTCATGAGTTAGCCCAGTAGCTTCATGTGAATGGATCAGATCTTGAATATAAAACATCAGGTTCATTGCGGTTTGGATATACTGTGCATGTTCAGTTGACCAGTGTGAAGTTGTAAACTAGCTTTCAAAATGTTATGAGATATGTCGTGTATTTCAATTGCACATGTTTAAGGAGGAACACTGCCCTCTAGAGATGATGTTGAATAAATCTTTTTGGTCTAAAAATCTATAAATACTGGTACCAGGGTAGTGATTTCATTGTTTATGAATAAATATGGTTAAATACTATGGCCAAAGTTTGACAATTTTATAATATACTAATACCATATTTGTTCTTTTGTAAATGACAGAGGTGTGTCTAGCAAAATGAGTAAAGTAAAATAATCAGGGCACAGAGTAGAAATATTTTCTGTTTTTTTATTCATCTGCACTAGCTTTTTAGTCCCCGTTTGGACGAAGTCCGAAAACGGGGACTTATAATTCGGTCTCCGTGCGTCCGTCTGGAGTCATATCTCAGAGTCCCTTGGACCGATTCCGTTCATTCTTTGCATGTGCCTAGTACTTTATGTGGGACATATGCACATGCAGTGGTTTAGCGATTCGATTCAAAATGGCCGACTGGCAGCCATCTTGTTTTTTGAAAATGTTGAATTTTGGACATGCTTTGTCAGTTTTCATTCAAACTTGGTACATAGATTATACATGTTAGGATACATGTCCATGATGATTTATTTCACAATTGGATCAAAGATGGCCGACTGGCAGCCATCTTGTTTTTTGAAAATGTCGTATTTTGGACATGCTTTGTCAGTTTTCATTCAAATTTAGTACATAGATCATACATGTTAGGATACATGTCCCCGACCGTCCGTGAGTTCCTGAGTCTGTCCGTCCGACCGTCCGTGTGTCCGTCTGTCCGTGCGTCAGTCTATCCAACGTCATATTTCAGAATCCTGTGGACCGATTCCGTTCATTCTTTGCATGTGCCTAGTACCTTATGTGGGACATATGCACATGCAGTGGTTTAGCGATTCGATTCAAAATGGCCGACTG